TTGGAATAAAATACCAACGAACGCCACACGAAATGCCACACAAACCTTACAAAGTAGTTAACAGAAAAATAGTCTATCGCACTGCGTTGAAAAAGCGATAACTAGAATTCATATACATCTGTAATAACTCGTTTTTATGGATAACTACAAAGTTCATCTCACACTAAAGGCCTCTAATTTTCAATAACTCGACGATTTGAAAAATTTGATTACTCTAGTTTTTCTGTTCTCCTTCGTATTTGAGATACCACGATTTCAGTGTAAGTCCAGATCATTGTTTTGACGAAAATATACTACATTCTCCTGAACTCTCTGACTCAGAAGCTTTCGAAGCGACATTTTCGAGGAGAGACGGCATGCTTTGCACCGCGCGCCACCGAATTCAAGCGGTGACGTATCCGGGATCTCGCTTTCATCCGCGGGCTCGGAAACATCGGCATTAATAGATGAGAATTAATGAGCGGTGCCTCGTCTACACCAGAATCCCTCGCAACAACTGCGCAATTCTCCAAGGTGTTAGAGCAGTTTTTCTGGATATGGCAACGGTCCCAATGGCGCTGCTGAACTTCGCGTTCAACGAACAACTACTTGTTAAATTGGATATAGCTGAGGAAATAAATGAGATCGGTCACAAATTTCTTGTCGATAATATTTTGTACTGTTGACAAATACTTATGCCAATTATTTCTTAAAAATCCTTGCAAAATGTTGTTCATAGTCAATGATAATTTATTGGAATTGGTGTAATGCAGTTTAGAAGTATTAAAAACTTAAAAATAAAGAAGAGATTTATTAATGTTTACGTACCAATTTCGATCTAACTTCACACTTTCTGCTGAAACGAAATTTCGGAAATAATTCGTAATGCATTTGTGAAAGATAAGCGAATGAAGATAATCATACGTCACTGAATCAGCATATATTTTATAACAGTGAGCGGCCATTGTATTCTCCATAAATCGACGATGGCAACAAAACGTCATTCTAAAACCTGCAGTAGTGTTCAAATCAACAACGATGATTTTAACGATGCAAGTGATGAAAAAGCACCCACGAATGACTGCTTTCACAACGCAACTCATTTACGCCGCCGTCCAACAATGCCCAAATTGGAGAAACACGCGCGAATCGCGCCGTTGAAACAAACGACAGCCTTCGCGCGTCCGATATTGACCCGCCCCTCCGCATTGTGCCGGCTCTTCCTAGCACGCGCCCGTTCTCATCCGGCCGCCGCGGCATTTGTTATGCATGCAGTGATTCGGTTATTTACAGTGAACGAGCAATATTTTAAATTTCAGATAAAAAAAGAGGAGCGCGGCGCGGGACGCGCCGATGAAGCCGTGCTTCCGGGTGCGCGCGCGGCAGACACGCGGCCGGAAAACGGCACTCAGTCGCGTATCCGCACTGCGACGCGCGCGGCCTAGCTGCACTTTATCGCTCTACGCGGCGTAATAGAAGCCGAAATTGGATTCACCGAGCCCGTATCAGAGGGAAAACGATCCGTATGCGAACGTTCTAGTAGCGTAGCAACCGTTGCTGGAGTGTGTGGCACTGAAATATCTACGTAAAGTTGTAAGTGAATGATACGATAGACATCTGAATTATCAGCTCAATGCTCTAGTGGGCTATTTCTGGTGTAGTGATGAGTCTCGATAGGCGACAACCTAACGCACATGCGATTTTGCTTGTCATCTGGAGGAATTTTGATTTAATTTTATAGATCTTCAGTTGACTCCAGTCAAACATTAAAATTGTGCTTGACGGGATATGAATTAATCGTAGAAAGCACGAACGTGAAAAATTAATGTTACTCTAATTACAGTTCGCCATTTATATTTCGTTAAATAGGTTTGAATTTATCGTTTATGTGAAACGTGATATCCAACGCGCGTTATGTAACAATATTTAGAGATAACACAGAAATTCTAAAAACCTTTCTTGATCAGTCCTCCTACCGTTTATTCACAATTTGACTTCGCGCTTGGTGTAGACTCGTTATTGTGTTTTCATAGGAATTCTCTATTTTAGTTCAATAAATTTAATGCCAAATATGAGCTACTATTATGGTTTTCGACTGTAAAATTGAAGTGGCAAAATTAACACATTAGGTGTACTGACAACAAAACGCACACTCAATCGAAATATCTACACAGATTCTCAATATATTTTCGGTGAATTTCTTCCACTATCTTCCCATCAAAAAATAACTTAATGTAGCCTTCCGACGTACCTATGGCTTTAGTTAAAAAAACTACAACCAAGAGTGTCAATTCATGAAATTATTGCCGACTTTTGAAGATTAAACAACTATATCCCAATATGACTCTGAATTATTGTGTTGCAAAAATATTTTATTTCTCTTCGATGGAAATCTTTTTGGTGAAAGATGAATTAGATTACTAAAATAAATAATAAGTACTATACTGGTTACTCCCTATCATCCTCTGAGAGTGTCGGGCAGTCCTGGATTTAAAACAATTAAAACACCCCATATACTTCTTTATTTCTCTCTTTCCCTCTCTCTCGTTCTCACACACACATTGACATATAATGAATAAAAACGATCTCTATTCTAAACTGAGTTATCTACTTTCCTCCGGGGCAGAGTATTGTGTGTTGCAGTACAATATATTTGAGTTACAGAAACGCAATTGTCCTTTAGGCTCAATTCTGATAACTGCATTTAAATGGGTTTCATCATTTGAAATTTACAAGAATGGCGATGTTGAACAAGAAATCAAAACATACTTGTTGAAAGTTGCAACGGTTGAAATAGCCCAGTTCCCTGTTGCCAAAAGAAACTGTAAAACTTGAAACGGGGGTACTAAATATTTTAGAATTAACTAAAATATTTTTAATGTAATATGTATGAATGACATGAAGACAACGTTTGAAACACACCTACCAGACCAAAAAAGAAATGACTGCAAAGCAGAAGCGGAACATTGCCAACGAATGTAACCTTGCATGTCGTTATTCTCAAATAGCTGTCGTTACCGGATCATAACTGACCTTGCTTCGACATTTTTATTCTCTCGAAAAGTGTGCCTCTCAGTGCCGTTTTCCCCAAAGAACAGGTATGCCCAGAATTGGTGTTTCAGGCCCCGTGACGTGCCTTGAGGGTTTCGATTCTGCAGCTGCCTCGTGCGCTGCGCTGCCCAAGGTTACGTTGAAGTACGTGCTTACTCCGACTACTACGAAGGTCGTAATTAGAATCCAAGGGGTAGAGGGTATAGATAATCACTGTTTGTATTGTATGTGTTGAGGCTGAGGGCGAGGGTTGAGTGGCAGAGAGCAAATGCGTTACACAGACCGCTTAGATAAACTCCGGAAGCGTAAGGTCTATGAAATACCTTTCAGAGAGTGTGTTAAGTAAAACTGGGTTAGAGAACAGTCATGAAAGATATGTCTATGAACGGCATTGGTCAAGCTAGATATTTCTTCAAAATTAACAATTCACAAACTATAAACGTTGGATTACGAGAATATGCGAGCGATCTTCTTGTACCTTGTGCGTTCAAATTACTTGCCATCACGACAAACACAAAAGTGTCTGAATTGCGTAATACAACAACATAAAGGTGCGAGTATCTTTTCTTAGTTTTCCTTTATAAATGCGTAGTGTTAGTATCATACACGTATCTTAAAATTCAGCCTTAATATTAATCAGCTAAAAATAAATACCCTTTATTTCCTGTTTGAAGACCATTCTTAAAAATTGTTTAAAATAACCAAAGAAGGTTTTAGAAATTATTAAAGTTTACGAGGTTAGTGAACCCGAAATAGATTTGGTAGAATTAATTGGATCCATTTTCTGGTATACATTTGAAAACGAAATAAATCTCAAAATCAGGTATCTGAAACCATCATTTGGATAAGCATTAAGTACTAAAATAGTTTTTGTTCAAAATTCTTTAAAGGCATACACAACGAAATAATTTTGCAAGATCATACATTTTTCAGAAGGTTCCAATCGAACAAGGCAAAAAATGGTATGTCACTTCTTCCGTGTTGGAAATGTTATTGGAAACTATATATCTTTTTTCTTATTGTACTTTAACAATGTACAGAACAAAATATAAATAAATGAAGCTGGTTATACGTGGAAGAGATCATGGATGTTTTTAAACTTCAATAGCGCATCGCAGTCTCTGACAAGCCTGAGGATAAAAATGTTTCAGCGAACGCTGTGAATAATTCTAATGGAATGCAATACCTGCCATCTCTGTTTTGACGCGACGATAGCATGGTAAGCTAATAAAGTAATCAGGGCTACACGATTAGCAAGTAAATTTATACCATTAAATAATAGGCATAATTATTTATGATTGAGCTATTATCAGAAGAAATTGGCACACAAGCTACAAAATATAGTGCAACGTCAACGTGAATGGTATCAAGGTCTGGGTCAGTTAATGAAATTGACAACATAATATTGTAGTCGCAACTCTTCGTCTAGAAAAAAAATCATATACAACAAAACCATGTCGATGTACTCGAAAATAAAAGAAATAAATGAAAAATATAAACAATTTTGCAAATTAAACCAAATGATCCTCTTCATTGAATTGAAACAGATACCGAACACTGACCACACTAGCTAAAGAGCAAAAATACATTTAAAGAAAAATCTAAAGCCATGGAAAACTACGATTGTTTGTATTTTAGTCAGATGTATTTTAATTTACAAAATACGTAAGAGGAAAGAAGCGTTATACGAGTCAAATACTTTCACAAATCTTATTATATATATTTAATATTAGTGCAAACTGATATTTGAATAGTAATATGTTACAAATAAAAAATGTAAGTAATAAACAAGAGCTAAATAGGCAATTTGAAAATCGCTCGTTATCTGAATCCATCCTTTGCACAGGAAGAACACAGAAATCACCTTCAATTCAAGACGAGACGAGACAAGCCTTCACACTTCACAACGCAAAACAAAGCAACAATTACATAACTTACGCACTCATCCGCAACAATATGCAGAATCCTACCCCAAAACAATCGCCACAATCAACTGACAATCGCAGCAGCTCCGCCCCGTTATCCCCTCCCCGGGAGACCGCAGCCATTTGGGCGTGGGTGGGCACCTCCAATCACGGCCGATGAGGCGTTTTAAATACGCCATTACGCCCGCGAACAAGCGCGCGGTCGCGCGGGCGACTGCAGCGACGGAGGTACGCCGCCCGCGGCGCATTGAAATTCAAATGGGCGTCACGCCGCCGCCACCGTAAACACGCGCACGCCCTCAATGGAGCGGCGCCCGGGCCGTGCTCGCGCTCGCGCACGCCCCGGCACGCGGAACGCACGCCGCACCCCCCCCCCAACCGCCGCGCAATGGACTGAATCCAGCTGAAACGCGCGCAGTCGAGAAAAAAATAATAAAAGAAGGTAATACGCAAAAATTTGTTTACGCAAAAATTAGTCGACATATAACATTTCAACTGTTATATAAAAACAATATATATAAACAACAATAGAACGAATGCATTAATAACTATCAAACAAATTTTTATTAAGGTGTCTTAGACGTCTAGGGGAAAATATGTTTCCATATATCAGTAAAAATATACTGTTTCATTGGTTATAACTGTATTAAATAAAATGTTTAATACTTATATACTATAAAACTTATTTAATATTGGTTTTCTCGTAAACTAATTTCAACTAGCAACGCAATATTTGATATTTTCTTTGAATTAATAAGACATGGCAGAATACAAATACAGTCTGCCAGAAATGGAATGGGTTTACCTATTTGACTTTTGTGGTCCGATTTAACAAATTAAATATAAAACACGTTCTAAAAATGTATATATTATGAAATAAACCTTAATATGAGATTAACTACCTCGACCTGTCCCTTTGACAAATTTGACCCTTTAACGTCTATATTTTACAGGTGGAAAAAGTAGCAATATTTCACAAACGTAATATTGACATTATTGTAAATTTAAAAAAAAACGTTTAGCACCTTAAGCCCTGCAAATGTACAGCACCGTAAAACATTCAGATAATGTATAACAGCAGACATTAAAAAAAAAAGAACTAACTGGGGGCGTTGCCCGGGATTTCGCCGCTTCGCCCACTGTGCGGCGCTCGTGGTGGCTGCGGCGTGACTCACCGCGGGGGCGCCGGCGGGGAGGGTGGTCGCGCGCCGGCAATCATCCACTCTGCCCTGACTCCGCTCCGGCGCGGTGCAGTCGGAATGTTTTAAATACCGGGCGCAGTCGTGTCGAACAACCGTAAAATAAAACAATATTATTGTGTTTATGTTCGGAATATTTACGTATGGTTGTCACAGATCAAGCGTGTCAAGTGTATAGTTACATGTAATACACACGTGTGGTGTAACAGCATGCACTGAACGCACCGCTAGATAACGTGATTGTTCGTAGATACGTAGCAGTGCACGTAAAGCGAATAACGTAACAATGTACTACGCCGGTGCCCTGAACGTGCACGGTAAATGCAGGCCAATGTGGAAGGTACGCATGACGATCACGTGCAGTTGGCGAGGGCCGTGCCTGTGCTCGCGCCGGTGCGTAGGGGCGGGCGCGTCCGCGCGTGACTCACCTG